ATACTGTCTAGTATAATATTATATACATTATATAATATAGTATAATCCTCGGAGTCGACATATCGATCGACGTGCAGTTTCGTGGTCACTTGGAAGAGAAGGCCAAATTGGCCTCTAAAAAGCTTGGCGTGCTCAGCAGAGCGGGACAGTATTTCATGCCGGCACACCGCCTGCAACTTTACAAGGCGCAGGTTCGGCCTCACATGGAATACTGTTCCCATCTCTGGGCAGGGGCTCCCCAGTGCCAGCTCCTTCCACTTGACCGCATCGGCTCGAATCGTCGACGACCGAGTCCTTTCCGATCGGCTTGATTCATTGGCACTGCGAAGACCTTTGCATTTTCTTTCGCATCTACCACGGGGAGTGCTCTGAGGAATTGTTCGGATTAATCCCAGCCGCCAAATTTCACGAACGCACATCGCGGCAGAACTCCCGATACCATCCACACCATCTGGATGATTGGCGTTCCACCACTGTGCGATTTAGAAGATGTTTTCTTCCTCGCACGACTTCCTTGTGGAATCGATTACCATCAGCGTTTTCCGGACCGATACGACATAGGGACCTTCAAGAAAAGAGCGTACTCCTTTTTAAAAGGCCAGCAACGCATCTGCAATTCCCTCCCTGGTGTTGCAGTTGTTCATGGGCGGCGGTAGTCACTTACCATCAGGTGAGCCGCATGCACGTTTGCCCCCTCTCCTATAAAAAAAAATATGACTATACGGCTTATTTACTAGTCCATTTAAAACAAGGTGGTTTATGGACTTTATTACACAATGTTATCTTTATGATAATACGTTTCAAATTAAATTTTACTTCATCCGGATATAAATATTAATTGCTACACAGTATTTACTAACCTTTGATAAGAAATTAAAGATAATAAAGATGTTACATTCCATATGATAAGTCTAAGTTACAGAACACTTCTATGAAATGTCTATTAAATTATTTTTGTAATAATAATGTCCTCCATACCGAATTTCAGTCACGGTGACCAGTCTCAATATAGACTAGCCATCTGCCCAAGATAATATAATTATAGTACCCAAATCCACCCAATGCATGGGTGCATTCTCTATTCAATCACTCTTATAGTCCGACTGTAGAGCTCAAGCGCAGGACCAGACTTCACGTGCTTTCCGAGGCTCGGGGGTAAAATACCACCAACTTCCTGATTCCAGGCTGCTGCTGAGAATTTCTCGACAGGAAAACCCAATAACTGCTTTTGCCCGACTCGGGATTCGAACCGACGACCTCATAATCAGCAACCGCGTTTACGACCACTAGATCAACAAGGTAGTCACGTGGCCTGACAACAACTAGGCAAGCGGGGCATCTACACCAAATACCCTCTAGAGGCAATCTATGGGGAAGGCCTGTGTTAAGCAGTGGACTTTTGACAATATGTAGCAGTAATGGTAATGCATTGGTAATTGTTAAATTGTATGAAAGGTCTTATTCAAAAATTACATTAAGCATTAACCATATATTTTTGTGAAACATTTTCAGTAAAACAACACTGAAATATCAACTTTATCAAAATTTTGTTTTTGGTATAGGTAGCATAGAATAACACTTTGCCTCCTCTCATCTTATGTATGTTGTGTGGCCTCTGTACATGTACAATATTTATTGATAAATAAGTATGGTGGTTTTGGCTATAATCTGACCTTTCCAAGGCCTTCGACTGTGTTCACCATGAGACATTAATCAGGAAGCTACAATACTATGGTGTCAAGAACACAGCGCTTAAACTTATTATTTCATATTTAAGTAATAGAAAGCAGGTTATTATCAATGGTAAAAGTTCTTTCGGGTCTCCTGTACTAATGGGTGTCCCTCAGGGCTCGATTCTCGGCCCATTCCTGTTTCTGGTGTATATTAATGACTTGCCTCACCTTGTAGGGGATAGTCATGATATAGCATTATTTGCTGTTGATATTTCCTTGATTTTTAAACTTAAACGTCAATCATTTAAATGTGACGAAGTGAATAATGCTATATCAAAATTAGTGCATTGGTTTAACGTTAATAATCTGCATTTGAACGGAAATTAAACTGTGTTAAATTTACAACAACGAATGTTAAAAATCTGAATACCAATGTGTTTTTAAATGGGGAGGAATTGAGCCCTGTTGTATCCACTGTTTTTCTTGGCATCACTCTCGGCGCGAAGCTTCTGTGGGGCCCTCATATATCCAAATTAGCAAGCAGACTAAGTTCTGCAGCCTATGCTGTAAAAACGATTAGAGGTCTCACTAGTGTCGAGACAGCTAGATTAGTTTATTTCAGTTATTGCATAATGTCTTATGGGATTTTGCTATGGGGAATAGCGGCTAATTCAGAAATTATTTTTGTTTTACAGAAGAGGGCCATTAGAGCTATTTGCAATCTAAAACTGAGAGAGTCTCTTAGAGATAAATTTAAAGAAATAAATATATTAACTTTGGCCTCTCAGTATATTTACGAAAATTTAATGCATGTTCACAAAAACAAAGATAGTTTTAGTAAAAAAACGTGATATACATTCTGTAAACACTAGGAACAAACACAAGCTAGTGATGCCAGTATCTCGACTCCACAGAGTCAGTAATTCATTCTTGCTATTACAACAAGGTCCCGGAAAGTGTACAGGTTCTTTCTATTACCAAGTTTAAATGTTTTATTTAGCTGAAACTGTACAAAAAGGGTTATTATAGTATAAATGAATACATGGTTGATAATAACCCCTGGGAATAAGGTGGTCGCTTCCAAGCGGTTTCTAAAATAAATCTTGTAAATAGTTCGTAATCATTTATATTGTAAAATTTATTTAAAAAAAAGTCCCGCTGGGTTTCTTGCTGGTTCTTCTCAGGGCAGTGTTTTTTATATCGAACCAGTGGTAAAGTAAAAAATTACTGTCAATAAGAATTACACATGTAATGTATATTGAATAAAAATTATTCTATTCTAAATCTATATATGTACAGTGTAAGCTCCATGTAGTATCACTCGATTTAACGACAAACTCACTAATGCTCACTTAAGCGTCGAAATCACTCGGCTTTGATTGGTTTAGCTTGTCTTTCATATAATGATACACTATATAGCATTACACCCACTCAGCAGAGAGCAATGCCAGAAAGGATCTAGATTCTAGATTATATTTTAACCAAAAAACTATGATTTTCCTTTGAAAAAAAACCAAAAAATTTATAAAATTAAGTATTAAATTTAAATGACACCACATTAATTAGTGATGGGACTCAAGCTGTGTTTCATTCGAGTTTTCATTTTCACGTGGTAGAGCCATGCTGCAGCTATATTATGGTTGTAGCACGAATGGGTCGGCTCGACCGGGGAAGGACCACGCTCTCACAGGAAACCAGCGTAAAATAGCAGCTTAACGCTGCTGTGTTTCGTATGGTGAGTGTAGAGAACCGAAGACCCTTTTTACTGGCAAAGAGGCATTCCATCTTAGTCCTCACGGTTGACAATGCATCTGCATCTTGAACCTTTATTGAGGATAGATGTAGATGTCTATGGGTCACAGTAACCACTTACCATCAGGTGGACTGTGTGCTCGTTTGTCACCCGATCCTATAAAAAAAAAAAAGTTTCTCGAGTAGCTTTTATTTTACTCACACTCGAGTAATATTTATGACTACTCGGATTACAAGTAACTAGAGTCAACTCCAATGACTTGGAGTTGAATTGTTGCCTGCACCGACTCGAGTGAGAAATTCAATTTAAGACAATTTAGCTGATGTATCTATCATCCATTTGAAATTAGAAAAAGAATAAACATCAGATTTAGTATAAGGATATTAGGGGTGAGTCAAGTTCATCTCATGCGTGTTCTTAAACTACTGAAGGTGAGAGTTCTGCTTCCACGTCTGCCGATTCCAATTCTACATCAATGAAATGGCATTTTCAGCAACTACAGCTTGTAAAACCTAATGCATCACTAACTAAGCCGAAGCAAAAAAATTATCTTAAGCTCTAATCAAAATGATTTGTCAAGACTTATAAGCCTAACAAATTGAAGAAAACAATGGTGTTATTAGTTTTTGACAGACGAGTCACTCGTATGAAAAACATCACTCGAGTTTTATCTTCATTCGAGTGGTACTTGAGTTGTGGCTATCACTGGCGAGTGACTCCCATCCAGTCCCATCACTAACATTAATAGATTCTATGCAGACAAAGCCTGGTGGGTTACTATTAACTAATATAGATCTCCACCACAATCAGCAATACTTTTTATAGGCTGAAATAGTAAGCAAATAATATAAGTTACACTGATGTAAAATAGTTATGATAATATAAAAATAATAAAAACAAAATAATATAAATATGCAAATTTTTTTTATAAAATAGAAGTGGTTAACATCCATGAAGAAGCTCCTGCAGCTCATGTGCAAATGGAACCAACTATAAGTAAAGAACACTACAGATGTGTTATCACCACAGAGGCCTAAGATGAAATGTTTCATGGCCCATAATTATACTGGCTCTCTATACCATTTAGTTTAGAACACAGCAGTGCACTGCTTTTTGATAGCAGAAATTGATATTGGGTAATACCTAAGCAGACAGACGCCTAGGAAGAAATTGAATAACACTTAGATTATTATTTAATAAAATAAACATGTTATTTGGAAGTTATATTTTACAGTATTAATGATATATCACTAACAATAACTGTACATCTATTATTTATAACATTATTTCAATAATCAACAAAATCGAGATACATAAGTACTTATTGCATATCATCATCAACCTCAGACTATTTTCATATCTATACACAACAGTAATGTAAATAAAACAATTATTATATTTACAAAAATATACAAGAATCGATTTATTTTAATGGATTGCATGAGAAAAGGCAATGTCACCAGTTTCGGGCTTACGTTCGCTTGTTGCGATTTTCCCGCCATTCCTAGGTGACAGGAACACTTGGTTGCATTTGAGCACTTTGGAAGGTAACTCTGGAAGTTTCGTGGCACTTACTAAGTGTCGTATTTTTCGCCTTCACACTGACTCGCCCAGAACAAACAATTGCCGATCCCGCTGTAACATATAAGTATAACGGCGGCAAGGAAAACGACACTGCACACTGTACACGGTTTTCTTTCTAGGAAAAATCCTATTAAATATAGCACCATGAACATAACATGAGTGTTCACGAGTGCCGGGTTGACGGGCTTCGGAATCAGTAGCACAGGAATCAGCCATTGCAAACAATACATTTTGTCGGCGAAAATTGTTACTCCGTACGATTATCAAGTTAAAATAATAAGAGTCAGCAACAAGTTCGCTATCGACATGTTTTGTAGTTAAACTGCGTTATCTGAATAAATTTATAAAGTAATTAGTAATAGTAAGTGTATAACGATAAGTCGACACCAATTCACCAGTCACCAAGCAATTTGACATTTACAGTTTGACGGTGACAGTCACAGACAGGCTAAGAGTATATTTTTTTATAACTAGCTCTAGCTTTACGGCTCTAGGTTCTAGCCCTTCTGAGCCTGAAGTTACAATGTATAATTATCCTTCAAAGTACACTGATTCACAATAATATGTTGATGCGTCACATTATGCAGCCCTTGGGAGATTTTGATGGAAACTTGAGCCAGCAGACAGCTGACAGTTGGCGATGATATCTCAAGGCACCTAAGGAGACGTCACCTTATCTTGAGAATCACATTACCATCAGAGCACTTGTTTCACCGTTTCCACTAATAGTTCACATGCGCAGACACTTAATACACAAAATCGCACCACTGAAAGCCACTTCAAACCATTATTTAAACAATAATACAGGAGCAGCAATCCGTTGCCGGTCAAGTTCCCGCCAAAACTCTCACAAAGAGTATAGTCACAGAGTAACTTTGTACATATATAAACCGTAGGATAGGAGTGGTCGTTACAAAACGTAAACAGTTATTGAAGCTATCAATTCATAGAATAGTGGGTAGCGGGTTATTGCAGTCTAACGAAACTATCTATTACAGTTTACAGTAGACGTTTTAGTCGGTAACATGATTTTACGATCGATACATCAGAATGAAATGTAATAAATCGTTTATTCGACTATTTTCGCGACGAATCGGTAACGGCTTCGGCTGTTGAACCACCACCGGCCATCGAAAGTCAAGTGAGTGCGGGTGACGCATTTTGTCTCTTTCACACTCACCTATGCATACATTGCTTTTGCATTTGACTTATGACTATTACCGTCGGATAAATGTGATATTAGAAATGAGAAAGTAAGTGTGCATGTTTTAAAATAACAAATATTTTCGAATTACGTGGCCTTGACCCACTCTAATTTCGTCTCGTGTGTTTGAAGACACGGTTTGTTTTTAGGCGCGATTGCTAATGTAGTATATTCTGTACTGTGCAACAATAATAATATTTGTTGTAAGATAAAAAGAGAATACAATTGTATATATAAGTATTGTTATGTTATTGAATATTTAATTTAAGTATTAATTGTTACTTTCTTAACTCGTCATCGGCCAGTCCTAAGCCTGGATAAAGCATGAAGGAAATTTCATTGCAATATAAATCTTCTTAACACTAAAATCTCGATAACAGTAATCTTAACGAAACGGGAACACTAAACAAACTAATCAAGCTTTCGTTTCACGTAACGGCATCTATTAAAATATAGAGTGTTTCAAAGGCCGCTATTGTTATTTGATAGAAAGTTTTGTTTCGTTACTCAAAAATACAACCCACCACTATAAACCGAAAGTGACAGTGTGACAGCAGCAGATTTATTTTTTAATATTAGTTATATTATTTAAAGGCAAAAGGATATATGCCCAAGCTTCAGCCTAGTCTGATGGGTAACAATATTCATCCCATTATTAATATGTTTAATGAAGGTGTCACATTCCGAAGTTTATGTGAGATTATGACAACAATTCTCAAGGTGCCAAAATAGACACAATAAACTTGAGGTTTTTAATAAGTGAAGCACCTATTTCACCATTTCCGCAAATCATAGAGCAACACGAGCTACCGGCGGACCGCAGCGGTGGCCGGTGTTGCCCTATGCCGCAAATAATTTACTTAGAGTACATACCTAAGTATGCAATAATTTACAAACGCAGACGTTTGAATTCAAATTCAAACCACTTTATTTCTCAAATCCATTTGAAACAATAATGCAATATCTATCGGCGGTTAAGTTACCACTGCAAATTAATGAATTGAACCGATTGTGAAGAAACTTTACAATCAGTTAGAGACCAGGAATGATCTAAGCTATATTTTATCCGAAAAACTTGTAGAATTTTTGTGTGAAATTGAAGCATAAAATAAATGGTTATTCAGGATTATTTTAAAAAGACAAATAAAGGAAAGCGATAACGATTTTTGAACGATTGGGTGTGGCTCTAATACTATATGTAGATTAAGAGTTCTGAGCAGCAACAACTTCCTGATACAACTCCGAATATTAAAACACGACGGTTACCAACGCTTAATTACGCAACGTCATCTGCCAAGCTTGGCAATTATGGCAAATAACCTCCACCATATAGACCTATGTGCAGCTGTGGGCTTTGGTAGGTTTTTTTATAGGATTGGGTGACAAACGAGCGCACAGTCCACCTGATGGGTAAGTGGTTGCTGTGGCCCATAGACATCTACATCTATCCTCGTTTATGAATCAAAATGCAGATGCGTTGTCACCCGTGAGGACTAAGATGGAACGCCTATTTTCCAGTAAAAAGGGTCTCCGGTTCTCTACACTCACCATACGAAACACAGCAGTGTTAAGCTACTATATTACGCTGGTATTCTGTGAGAGCGTGGTCCTTCCCCGGTCAAGCCGACCCATTCGTGCTAGAACTATACTATTAATATAGCTTTAGCTTTGGCTCTACCACGTAAATGGTAAATTTGTAATGTGTAAAAAGGTTGTAATGAATAAATGGTTTCTGAGCTAAGCTACATATTTATCAGTTATAACACCCTCAGATTTTGGATTAGAGAACCAGATAATGACGATATAATTGTTTAATATATTTCAGTGTAACAAGACGGTGGTCGGAGGGGCCATGTCCGGTGGGTAGAAATCGGTTCACCTAGAAAAAAGTTATGAAGTATAAGTAGAATAACACACATAAAAAAAGAACATAGAGTCAAGTTGAGTACCCCTGCTTTTTGAAGTCTGTAGAAAATATTACGAACACCTAGCATTGCAATTTCTGTAGGTACTTAAATAGATATAATTTGTCCACTTTCCTTTTAGGGGTTTTTCATAATTTAAATATAATTTTTTATAAGTAGTTGAATCTCTGTATAAAAACTAAATAAATATATTTTAGTTTTATTCATTCTTAAATAAAATAGAAAATTACTAATTTTACTATATTAAATAAAATAAAAAATGACATTTTTAATGAATAAAATAAAAATAAAATTATTTATATAAAGGGAATCTAAAGTCAGTTAATGCAAAATCATCATCATCATCATTACAGCCCTTCACAAGTCCACTGCTGAACATAGGCCTCCCCCAAAGAATGCCACAAAGCACGGTCCTGAGCCACCTGCATCCATCGACTTCCTGCAAATCTTACCAGGTCGTCACTCCATCTAGTGGGGGGACGCCCTACACTTCGCCTGCCGGTACGAGGCTGCCACTCGAGAACCTTTCTTCCCCATCGGTTGTCGGTTCTTCGAGCTATATGGCCGGCCCATTGCCACTTCAGCTTACTAATCCGTTGGGCTATGTCGGTCACTCTGGTTCTACTGCGGATATCCTCATTTCTGAGTTTATCACGCAGAGAAACTCCGAGCATAGCCCTCTCCATAGCTCGCTGAGCGACCTTGAGCTTCCTCATCCGGCCAGCAGTGAAGGACCACGTCTCAGTTCCGTATGTCATCACTGGCAACACGCACTGGGTGTACAGTCTCGTTTTCAAGTTTTGAGGTATACCTGACGAGAAGATGTGCCGTAATTTCCCGAACGCTGCCCAACCGAGTTGAATCCGTCGATTGACCTCTCGGTCGAAGTTGGACTTACCTAGTCGGACTATTTGTCCCAGGTAAACATACTCGTCAACAACTTCGAGCTTAGTGTTCCCAACAACTACCGGCATAATATTTATAGCAAAATAAAATTTGTGTAATTTTTAATTACATTTCTCTGGTAAAATTAGTGGTGTATAAAGGGGGGAGGCCTCGGGCGGTAGTTTTTAGGAGGCAGCATTTTGGGAAACTGTCTGCTTTCCGGCTAAAATTTTAATGATAATGATGAATAGATGCCAGTAAAATTAATAACAAACACTGTAAATAACACTGTTAATAATTGTGAAAATAGTGATAAAGACTAAGGGCCACGAGCTCACGAGACGGTTTTAACCCGGCCCGGTTTTTTGCCGGCACCGGGTAGAAACCGTCCGAGCTTGCACACAAGACGGTTTGTACACGGCCCAGTTTCATGGAGGCTCTGGAGACCCATTTTACTGGAAAAGAGGCATTCTATTTTAGTCCTCAGGACTGACAACGCAACTGCATTTAGGTTCGCAAACGAGGATAGATGCGGATGTCTATGGGCCGCAGCAACCACTTACCATCAGGTGGACTGTGTGCTCGTTTGTCACCCTAATTCTATATAAAAAAAGGTGCAGCCTTCATACGCTTTTTTATTCTGTGAATTGTGGACGTACAAAATGTTGAGTGTAAATAAACAAAAACAAAGAGAAAAATATTATTGCGTGGCACATGCATAAAAAGCTAAAAAAAGACGATAAAAATTACAAAGTCGATATTGGATACATCCCGTGTTAACAGAAAGAGAAGATTATGGTGCATTTCATACGCTTATTTAGAAGCAACTAATGAAACATGACGTGAAATTTGTATATAAGTACTTTGGAATAAAAAAAGAAACATTTAACAAAATGTAATACATTTTGGGACCCAAACATTTTATTATATTAACATTATTAACATTAAGACAATTGCAAAAATGAAGCTAAAGGCGGTGGGGAGAGGTCGGTTAAAGAGGCAGCATTTTGAAAGGCTTTTTTGTATGATTGCGGTATTCTAGAAAATAAATATTTCCTTCTCTGCAGACTGCATATTCGCAACATGGAAATAGTCTTGCTCATTAGTAAGCGAATCGCACCGAAGCACTGCGCTATATATGTATAGGATAGCTCTGTATTACTACATGCATTGAGCCTCCTTTCCCCAAGGGGGTCGCTTCCGATACGGCAGAAAGATTCTCCAGGCCAAAGCCAGTCCCAGGTAGTGTGTAGTGGGTAGGCACTTAGGTTTTCATAGTGAGACCCACATAACCACGCAGCCGGCTGCGTTGTATGTTAAGAGCATTCACCACCAAACTCCCTCACTTTCCGGAGGGTAGCCCTTTACTTGCTTCTGGGCACAAAAATATCACTACACGCAGCCCGACTTCAAACGTAACGCTAACCCTCCGGAGGCCTCGCAACGTTCTAATCGAACCCTCTGTTCCGCTAGATTCCGATGACCAAAATGTTGCCGGCCATTCCCACTCAAAGACTACACAATCATCTCGTGCCACAAACACTGTTAGGACTACAACGGATGGGACGCAGCGAGTCTGCAGACGGGCTCGCCGCACACCGCGTACACACCGTACTCCCGCGTCCCTGGGCGGTTCTAACCGCCCAGAACATCGAACGATACGAGTTAGCCGTCAGAGCCGGGGTCCGTCACCCCCTGTTCGGACGGCCGTTAGATAGCTCATCCATGTTATGTTAATGTGATCACTGAACTGAACAAAATATTATCCCACTCCCCCAATATTATCGATTTTAGTTCAACGCAGTAGCGTCCGCAACGTTGCACTAAAATCACTAAGTTCGATGAAGCTGTAATAGCATCAACATCACAGAAACTAGACTACACGCAGCCTTGGCCATTGGACACGCTCTCACAGTAAAATAGCAGCTTGATGCTGCTGTGTTTTGCATGGTGAGTGTAGAGAACCGGAGAACCTTTTTACTGGAAACGAGGCAAGGTGGACATTTGCCCTCAGGGGTGATAACGCATCTGCATTTTGATTCTTAATTGAGGATTAATGTAGATGTCTATGGACCACAGCATCCACTTACTATCATGTGAACTGTGTGCTCGTTTATCATTGTCACCCTTATTCTATAAAAAATATCCTCTAATCCGGTATATGTTTTTGTTTTTTAATTTCTAGTTTTTATTAAGAAGACACTGCTGACGATCTTTTTTGTTTCGGCTTGACGCCTCTTACGACACCCATATGATGATAATGTGTAAGATATTCTTACACCGCCATCTTATTATAAAAAAGCTGTTAATATTTAATTCATTCAGACAATATGAATAATTATTAAATCTATATTCAATAAAACTTTAAGAATGTCTTTATTTCGTCCTAGCATTTCTAATTCGTTTACTTAAGATGATCAATATTTTCCCCTTTGCACTTATAGTACTGATTTACTACGTGTTTGGCGGGCAAGGATAACATCTTGAGGTAACTTGCATAACTAAAAAATAAAATATTTCAAGGACATATCTAACACGCATTGGAACAGTTGCAACTTTTTGGTGAAGTTTTTCACAATTCACAATGACTTAAAGTGAAGTTGCGTCGTATACGAGTATTATATAAACACGCAAAACAATGCCTCAGTAGTTTGAAACCTATTATTTTTTACATTTTTAACATTTTTTTTAATTTTTTCTACTTCGAATATCCTGCACGACCACCCAGCAGCCCCTCACAACCATCATCCCCACTAGATGGCTTGGTGTTGGCAGGATCCTCTCGGACTCGGCAAGCGGCACCGGCCGCTGGTGGAGTACGCCGCATGTGTTGGACAAAAGATATGAACATAAACGCATTGCTGGCGTACCATAGGATGAAAGGGGAAGAAACTGGAGGGATAGCGTATCGGGCTCGGATGCATCGCTTTTTTGCTGAGCTGGAGCCGTCTGTTCCCGTCACAGAGCTAAACCTGGCAGACCGAGTTCGGTACATCCTACGCTCGAAAATATTTGATGATGCTGAACTTAAACGACTACGGCATGAGGCTATTCCCTCGTCGAAAGAACCATCTATAGCTGGAGATGCGGCTCCTAAGGCCATAGACCAGCAGCCATATGTGGAAGCCGCCATGGACCTTCCCGCTTTGGTTGATTCAGGCGATGATGGAATGGTTACCTAAGAACTAGAGCAGATGAGGAGTAAATTGGAGGAAGCGATTGTGGAAACGCGCTGTACGCCTTTTGAAAATCGACCGCGACTCCCGCGCATAACCCTAATTGCTAAGCAAGCGGAATCAGGATGTCGTGATGGCCCTGAACTCATTGCTGGCAACCTTTTTGTAAAACAGCCGGGACCTTTGTGATATGGACTCAATACTCTTTGGCGTCGCTTTGGCAGTTTGCCGTATTATTGGTGCCAAACTTCCCACGTCTAGACGTGCTACTGGGCAAAGTAGCGTTATCACAGACGGGAGAAGAAGCATTGAGGACCGAATCGCAAAGGCAAGGGCCCTCATCGGCAGACTGATAAGCTTCAGGTCGGGCAATAATAGGCCGAGAATTGTGCGCACCGTCAGAATAGTGTTTGCTGGGACAAATATCAGTTTGTCATAGCCGGATATAACACAAAAACTGACGGAGCGCATAGACGACCTGAAGCAGAAAATCGCTGCTTGGGGGAAGCGGATTCGGCGATATACCGAGAGGTCCACACAGTGAACCATAATCGTCTCTTCCAGAGTGATCAGAAGAGGCTCTATGAATAATTGGAGCGGCCAATGGTACGTGAAACGGGCCCAGCACCGAATCAGGCCGACACTATCGCATTCTGGCGCGGCCTGTGGTCAGAGCCCGTAAACCACAGCGAGGGCTCTTCGACGGAAGTTGTGGCGATTCAGTGTGCGAATGTTACGCCCATGGACCTCGTCATCATAACGCCGGATGACGTAGCTGAGGCGGTCCGTAGGGCCCCGAACTGGAAAAGTCCGAGACTCGACGGACTGAATCACTACTGACTGAGGGGGTTCGTGGTGTGTCACGCTGTGCTCGCCCGACAATTTCAAGAGGCTCTCGACCAAAAGCCACCCCCGAGCCTCTTCACTACTGGGATCACTCATTTGGGTCCTAAAGACCGGGATTCCACAGACCCGAGCAAATATCGCCCCATGACGTACCTACCATATACAAGACACTAACATCCATTTTGAGCGCGAGAATCACTCGTCACCTGAACTCAAATCAGGTGATGTCGCGCGCTCGCAATGGATGTCGGGGTGGTGGTCGTGGAACCAAGGAACCATTCCTCATTAACGCGGTCATTGGCAAGGTGGTAAAACGTATCCGTCGGAACTTCTCCGAAAATATCTGGACCTGACTCTGACCGACATGTTTCTGCAAACGGGTTAATCCCGGTCAGCCTCTCGGGTCATCTAAGGCGACTGGGACTCGGGACGGACCGCTCCGGGCTCAAATGCAGATAGCGGTGCTCTTTGATACCGCCCGCATCGTCGGTCGGTTTCTTTCCCTTTCTCCCTAACCGTCGGCCGTTTGGTCTCCCCTGCCGAGGGCTTCCATCTGGTTGGGATTTTATTTATTTATGTACTTTTATGTATTTATTTCATTTTATTGATATTTATGTATATTTATCATTTTCATTTACATTTATATATTTAGACAGTCCAACCAGATGAGAAAACTATTTAAGGCGGATACTGACCTGCCTGCGGCAGGGGCAATCTAGGGAGCACAGCGATCGGAGCAATATCGAAGGCCGCAGGGCCGACTTAAAAAATTGCCCCTGCTTGCCTACACACATCACAATTAAGGAGGCAATTAAGGGTCATCCCCACTCCTACGCCCTAGATTGCCTCTGCGGCAGGCAGGTCAGTAGCCACCTTTAGATACCCCACAATAATAATAAGAAATAGGAACCCAAGCAGCAATGGGAGGTATAAGGCTGTAATAACATATTTTATTCCATAAGATTGTAGTGGACGCTCAACAACTCGAAACTTATTTGCCTATTCCAGTTGACTAATCTATACTTAAATAAATATGTTGATATTTAATATCCTTTTTTGCTAAATCATTCTTTCAGGTACAAAGGGCGTGAAAAGACGCATGCGTGAACAAAATGGTGGTACTTTGTCTCCCACTTCTCGTTTTTTCCCGCCAGTGACGTCCGAAACTCGGGACGATCGCCAGTCGGTCGCGGGAGTACGAGGAAAAACTATAATAACTGTCAGCAACACTAACCACTCAGTATCACAGAATCAATTAGTGATGTGAAAAAATATAGAGAAGTTACGTAAATAAAAATGATTAGTATTAAATTAGAATACCAGAAATTTAATATTGTTTCATATATTATGTTTCATGAATTAATAGCTATCATATGTTACAACATATTAATGATTATAATGTGTCATGACAACGAAAACGAATAAAATAATAAAATAAAAATATATACAATAATTTTACGACAATAAATAAAGTAATCTTGACAATAAACACAAAATAAAAAATAAATATGGCAAATACTGCTCATTTGATGCGGCGACAGAGTTCGCGGGATCTTTATGCCCAACGCTCCCTGGATAGAATGGAAATGAAGGAATTGCGTGGGCGTTTGGTAACTATGGAGAATGGTCATCCATCACACCGTACTCATGTCATGTATGGTGCAACTAATGAGGCTTTCGAAGACACCAGTCCCAACCGACAATCTTCAGAGACTCCAACTAGTAAAGCTAGTTCTGGTGAGGATCGAGTTGTTAAGCCTGAAGGAGTAGAGTGCGAGAGAGAGTCGTGGGACAGCAAGCTAACTTTCCTCCTTGCCACCGTTGGCTACGCAGTTGGACTGGGTAATGTATGGCGATTCCCATACCTGGCACAGAAAAATGGTGGTGGTGCATTCTTAATACCTTACTTTGTTATGTTGGCGATAGAAGGCATACCAATCTTTTATCTAGAGTTGGCCATCGGGCAGCGTCTGCGGAAAGGTGCTATTGGTGTTTGGCATCAAGTGTCTCCATATCTTGCTGGTATTGGAATAAGTTCGGCTGTGGTCTCATTTAACGTTGCACTGTACTACAACTCTATCATAGCGTGGTGTTTGTTCTACTTCGCGCAAAGCTTCCAAGCGGAGCTGCCTTGGTCTGAATGTCCGAAGAAATACTTCAGCAATGGATCGTACGTGCCCGAGCCCGAATGTGCTGTAAGTATTCAAAGCTATATTTTCAGTTACAACAGCTACAATGAGAATGGCGATTAATATTCCTCGGGTCTATGCAATGCTTTATAATAATTGCAGTGATTAAAAACTAACACAATAATTGCAATACATACATTGGATTTGTAGTACTACAACGCATTACACCCGTAATTGCATAATCATCTTGTAACATTAGCAATAAATAATTAAAAAAATCTATACAACCTGGATTATGATATGCAATACATTTTTTTTATTGTTATACAATCTACGAAACGGAACAGAAATAACATTTAATCACAATATTACATATTATATACATATTTACTGCATAAAATTTTACTATTACATACATAAATATAAATATTTTCGAATCGTGTGTTTGGATTTTTAGAAGGTTTTTTCTTAAAATATTATCCGTCGAAAAATGTTTGTCTTGCAAACTTATGATTGTTTCTTTGCCCATAACATTGCATTCAAGCCATGCCTCGATTATATCGATTAGTTCAGTCAGCACAAAAAGGTCCTTTTGTATTATGTGTAATTTTATAGAAAGTTCTGGAGAATATCATTAGTATAAGCTATAATACAATATAAATAGTACGCTAGGTACGACTTATTGTATAATAGTCGATTTTTTAACTTTATCTAGTAATTCAGAAGTGGAACGGATTAACGACAAAAACTGCTTTATAAACTTAATTACAAAACGTTACCGTTATTAAGCTATGTTAAAATTTATTATTTTTTTAGGAAATCTCTATATATAAAAATCAATTGCTCTCCGTTAGTCTCGGTAAAACTCAAAAACGGCTGGACCGATTTAGATGAATTTTTTTGTGTGTTTAAATGGGTCGCTAGATAATTTAGATTCACATTTGAATCCGGTAGGTGGCGCTGTTGTCGTAATCCAGAAATGACTCGTGCGAAATCGGGGCGGACCGCTAGTCGAGTATAAAATTTAGAACATCATTTTTATGTAGGCGTATAGTAAAGTATCTGTGACACTATTTTATATAACATATCGGTATCGTATCGATCTGTTTTTCACACTAGTGAAAATAATGCAGCAATTACGTGGTGAGCCACATCGTAGCTGAGTAATTTAAACCTCAGACCAATTTTCTACCACCTACATTTTGTAATATGATAGTATATGATCTAAGGGGCTGGGAGAAGAAGAAATAAAAGAACAAAAGTACTGAACTGGTACGTTTAATAGGAGAAAGCAGAGGAGACACTATACGTGGGAGAGAAATGCTGCAGCTGTATTACGGCTGCTGCACGAATTATTCTATTCGACCGGGGAAGGACCACGCTCTCACAGAATATCAGCGTAGAATGTCATATAATGAGTACCTAACTTACAGGCCCTAGCAGGCCCTTTTTACTGCTAACGAATCATACTACATAAGTTCTCAGGGGTGACAACGCATCCGAGTTTTGATTCGTAATAATAATAATAATAATAATAAATCGACGTTATTTAAAAACCGACTTAAAGAATAAAATAACTTTCGCATAAAATCTTCTGAAGTCTGGGCGCTAATACTACTTAATACCGGCTTTAAAGCTATTATCTGAAAATTATTCATGCTTTTTAGTACTTTGAAGTCGGCTTTTACTTTTTATTATAAGTCTAATTTTTGTGCAAATTTAGAAAATGCTTTTTTAACTTAATCTTTATGGTGCGTACTGTATTGAAATTTTTGAGGGCAACTAGGGTTTTCAGAGGATTTCGTTTTGTGAGAAATTCAAGTATCATCTCCTTAATATTTACTGAGGTTTTCTGAAGTCAAGTTATTTCTATATGTTTGAATACTGGTTCTGATACGGAAACCACAGGGTTTTTGTTACGTGTTGTATAGTGGTACCTAGAAGAGCCGTGGTGGCTCAGCAAGTGCTTGCTATAAATTCCACAGTACGCAAGTAACCCGTTCTATTCCCGTCGGCACCAATGAAATTAATAATTGCAATTTTAAGTACTGATTAACCACGTGCTCAGTGATGAAAGAAAACTTACGAGGAATCCTATCATTTCGAAGACATGTGAAGTCCGCTAATAATGTTCTCCGGACCGAATCAGAGTCGGTCACGGTGGTCAGTCTCAAGGTAATCTAGATGGTTAGCACAGGACAAGATTTTAGTGGCCAAGTGTATGCGCAAGCTCAAATGTACTCTCTATTCCCTCACTCTTGTAAGTGGTGGAGCCAAGCTGCAGCTATATTAGTAGTTTAGTAATATAGTTATAACATGAATGGGTCGACTCGACCGGGAACGACCACGCTCTCACAGAATACCAGCGTAAAATAGCAGCCTAACGCTGCTGTGTTTCATATGGTGAGTGTAGAGAACCGGAGACCCTTTTACTGGAAACGAGGCAATCCATCTTAGTCCTCTCGGGTGACAACGATCTGCATTTTGATTCGTTATCGAGGATAGATGTAGATGTCTATGGGCCCCAGCAACTACTTACAATCAGTTGGACTGTCTGTCCGCTTGTCACGGTTATCCTATAAAAAAAAACTCTCTTAGTCCTATGGGATAATAATACGATAAGACCATATAGAGATCAGGCGCAAGACCTACGGCTTTACGTGCTTTCCGGGGCACTTGGATGAAACACCGAAAACTTCCTAACTCCGGGATGCTCTACTTATAATTTATTGACAGGAAAACTCAATAACTGATTTTAACCCGACTCGGTAGTCGAACCCAGGACCTCATTATTAGCAACCGTGTTTACGGTCATTAGAGTAGGGGGCTAAAAGAAGCAGCGCAGTGGACTAATTGCTCCAAAACCCTATTAAAAATAAGAGGAGAGTTTTGGCCAGGAATAGGACGTACTATCTAAACCACTCTCTCCTAGACTTACCCCATCATTACAGCCCTTCACAAGTCCACTGCTGAACATAGGCCTCCCCAAAGTGAACGGTACAAAGCACGATCCTGAGCCACCATCGACTTCTTGCATGTCTTACCAGGTCGTCACTTCATATAGGGGGGGGGGGGGGGTCGCCCTACACTTCACCTACCGGTACGAGGTTGCCACAAGAGAACATTTTTCCCCATCAATTCCATCCCAAGGAAACCCTACCAGCTAGAATATACTGCGTAATCAACAGTTTCGCGTTACCATCCATACCATCTGGATGATTGGCGGTCCACCACTATGCGATTTAGAAGAAGTTTTCTCCCTCGCACAACTTCTTTGTGGAATCAATTACCACCAGCGAATTTTCCGAACCGATACGACTTAGGAACCTTCAAGAAAAGCGCTTACAACTTTCTGAAAGGCCGGCAACGCATCTGCAATTCCCCTGGTGTTGCGGTTGTTCATGGGCGGCGGTAGTCACTTACCATCAGGTGAGCCGCATGCTCGTTTGCCTTCTATTCTATAAAAAAAAAAAGTTTGCGAATGAATCGCAAAATGTCGTCGAGAGAACTGCTGACAACGCAGTTTATATAATATCTTCAATGTCATATTGAAAGGTCTCTATACTTTTTGAGTAGTTTTAATGTTCATAATAAACTCGATGAAACGTAACGTAATCGAATCACTTATCTGAGATTGGTACAGGATGAAATTTCTATACAATTTCTGCTGCTCTGTTAAAATAAAAAGGAATTCTTATAACAAAAAGATAAGGTTTCTATAGATAAAAATATAATTTTATTCTATAGAAACCTTATCTTTTTTACGACGTTATAAAGTCTGAGCCTTAAGTTTAAAAGTTTGTTCTTGTCCAAAAGGCTCAGTTGGGGTGTTAAATCATATTTCTATGATTAAATAAGTTACCGTTAACAACCTATCAATAGTTCACTGCTGAACGTGGGCCTCCCCATAGATTGCCTCATAGGGGTATATTTGTCATAGTTGCCACGCTTGCTGGGCGTCGTGTATCATCTACATCTACCATCGTGTACGTCTGTTCGGGTCGAATTTAGGAATTGATTTTAAACTAACTTCTCGATGAACTAAAGACTTGAAATTTTGAAATTAAACATAGCTCAGAATTTAATGACAATGTAAAAATAAGAAAAAAAAAACAAAAGAGGAAGAAAAACTTTTATACATTTTAGTCCATTTTAGAAACTTGGTGTATTAAAAAAATTACAGATTTACTTGTTTAGTTTAACATTAAGAAGACGCTTTTGCCTCTCTCCTAGCTTGATTCCCTCTGATGTTTAATATTTTTTTAAAGATTAGTTAAATTAGATTGGAAAGAACAAATGTGAATTTCAATCAATATCCAACAATAATAAATAATCCAACATTCAATATACAACATATAACAAAAAGGCTGTGGTTCTCATTAAGTGCGTTATCAGAATCCGCAAGTAATAAAACCATATAAAATTTACAAATAAAAAAATATTTACATATAATTATTTTCTAGTCGAGTTTTCTAAAGTAAAGTTATTCCACAGTCCGCCTGATGGTAAGTGGATGTTGTGGCCCATAGACATCTACATTTATTCTCGATTAAAATTCAAAATGCAGATGCGTTCTCACCCGTGAGATTAAAATGGAATGCCTCTTTTCCAGTAAAAAGGGTCTCCGGTTCTCTACACTCACCATACGAAACACAGCAGCATTAAGCTGCTATTTTACGCTGGTATTCTGTGAGAGCGTGGTCGTCCCCCGGTCGATAATATAGCTGCAGCGTGGCTCTACCACATATAGAATCAGTATTCAAACGTACATATATTCTGATAACGCACTTAACATTTGTTAGATGTTGTATACATTGGATAGAATTTGAAAAAAAAAGTAGTGATGTATATACATCACTACTTTTTTTGTATTAATTTGAAGTAGGTACAGCATACAAAAACTACAGGTCCAATTTAACAGTGGTAGAGCCACGTGGCAGCTTTTGCTGTCGCACGGATGGGCCGGCTCGAACCGGGGTAGTACCACGACCTCATAGAAAACCAGCGTGAAGTAGAGGTTTACCTCTGCGTTTCGCTTGGTGAGTGCAGGTGGCCGGAGGCCCTTT